ACACTCAAGAGGGGAGAGACACCACCACCACATTGATCTCTATCCAGCAGTGGATAGACCACGGTGATGGTGGTCATTGCACTGAGACACAGACAGAGAGAGAGGATCACGTGGGTTAGAGATCACACTCAAGAGGGGAGAGACACCATCACCACCACATTGATCTCTATCCAGCAGTAGATAGACCACGGTGATGGTGGTGATTGCACTGAGACACAGAGAGAGAGAGGATCACGTGGGTTAGAGATCACACTCAAGAGGGGAGAGACATCACCACCATCACCACCACCACATCGATCTCCATCCAGCAGTGGATAGACCACGGTGATGGTGGTCATTGCACTGAGACACACAGAGACAGAGAGAGGATCACGTGGGTTAGAGATCACACTCAAGAGGGGAGAGACATCACCACCACCACATCGATCTCTATCCAGCAGTGGATAGACCACGGTGATGGTGGTGATTGCACTGAGACACACAGAGAGAGAGGATCACGTGGGTTAGAGATCACACTCAAGAGGGGAGAGACACCATCACCACATAGATCTCCATCCAGCAGTGGATAGACCACGGTGATGGTGGTGATTGCACTGAGACACAGAGAGAGAGAGAGGATCACGTGGGTTAGAGATCACAGTCAAGAGGGGAGAGACACCATCACCACCACATCGATCTCTATCCAGCAGTAGATAGACCACGGTGATGGTGGTGATTGCACTGAGACACAGAGAGAGGATCACGTGGGTTAGAGATCACACTCAAGAGGGGAGAGACACCACCACCATCACCACCACATTGATCTCTATCCAGCAGTGGATAGACCACGGTGATGGTGGTCATTGCACTGAGACACAGAGAGAGAGGATCAGGTGGGTTAGAGATCACACTCAAGAGGGGAGAGACACCATCACCACATAGATCTCCATCCAGCAGTAGATAGACCACGGTGATGGTGGTGATTGCACTGAGACACAAAGACACAGAGGATCACGTGGGTTAGAGATCACACTCAAGAGGAGAGAGACACCACCACCACCACATAGATCTCCATCCAGCAGTAGATAGACCACGGTGATGGTGGTGATTGCACTGAGACACACAGAGAGAGAGGATCACGTGGGTTAGAGATCACACTCAAGAGGGGAGAGACACCACCACCATCACCACCACCACATCGATCTCTATCCAGCAGTAGATAGACCACGGTGATGGTGGTGATTGCACTGAGACAGAGAGAGAGAGGATCACGTGGGTTAGAGATCACACTCAAGAGGGGAGAGACACCATCACCACCACCACCATCATCACCACCACATTGATCTCTATCCAGCAGTAGATAGACCACGGTGATGGTGGTGGTGATCTCTGAATGTCACGCAGGTTCCAGAAGCTACGGGAACCCCCCCCCTCCTTACCCCTCCCCCCTCCTTCACCCCCCTAGCCCCTCCCCCCTCCTTCACCCCCCTAGCCCCTCCCCCCTCCTTCACCCCCTCCCCCCTCCTTCAACTCCCTTACCCCTCCCCCCTCTCCTTTCTCCCCCCTAGCCCCTCCCCTCTCTCCCCCACTAGCCCCTCCCCTCTCCTTCACCCCCCTAGCCCCTCCCCCCTCCTTCACCCCCTTCCTTTACCCCCCTAGCCCCCCCCCCCTCCACCCCCCTAGCCCCTCCCCTCTCTCCCCCACTAGCCCCTCCCCCGCCACCTTGGCGCGGGTCACGCGAGGACGGCACCCGCTAACCACGTGACCGGAGGGCGCATCCCGCCCCGCCCCCATTTCATCATCCGGGGTCACGCCCACGCGTTGCGCGTCACTGCATAAATTAAACGCGGTCCGCAATAACAAAGAGGCAAAGCTCCCCCCGTGTAGCCTCTGGTAGGTTGGAGGGGCAAGTGCTGTTTGCGAGCGCCTATTGAAGTTAGCGGGAACGCGGCCAATTGGCCAATGAGTGACGGTGACGTCACAACGGTGCCAGGCCCGGTGCACCTTGAGGCTACCAAGTGAAGCGTCAGACTCGCGCACACACACAGATACACACATACACACACAGACACACACTCTCTTACACAACAACAATAACAACAACCGCCATTCGCCACTAAGTGGCGGTGACGTCACCACGACGCTTGTGCCAGGCCACGTGCACCTTCAGGCCACGTGAAGTGTCGAACGCCCGCTGGCCAGGAGGTCACGGGGGCAGACCCAGCAGGTGCCACGGGTCGACTGACTGAGATGACCGAGATGACTGGCTGGTGCACCACCTGTGCTCCTTACTGTGCCAGGCTAGGTGTACCAGGAGGTCACGGGGCAGACCCAGGTGCCACGGGTCGACTGACTGAGATGACTGGCTGATGCACCACCTGTGCCCCCTACTGTGCCAACCTGCCTAGCTTTAGCCACCCGGCGCTCCGCTCGTTGTTCTGAGCGTCGCCCCTCCGCCCTCCGTTGTTGTTGGAGGGCGACTGCCTCCAACTGCCCAGTAGCGTCCTTCACGAGCCTCCTCCACAGAGGCCGATCTTGACACCGCTGGTACCGGTCATCGGCAAGTCCACTCAGCTCCACGTCCTCCTGTACCACATCAGACTCGCACACAGACTCACATACACAGACAAAGATTCCCCATATAGCCTTAACAGACTGTCGGGACAAGTGCTGTGTGCGAGTAGCAGCGCCTATGAAGGCCGGCACGGCACACGAGGGGGTGGGTGGCCAGCCCCACGCCCGACCGCCTTTGTCTCCCCAGTGGCGATGTTTACACACCGCACCAGGTACTCATTTGAGGCTGAGTCGACCTAGGGGAGGCCCGGGACCGGTTCAGATAACCCGTCACTGGCGGTGTTGGCCGTGAGCGGGAATCGAACCCAGGTCGCCGGGTTCATAGCGCAGCGTAGCGCTAACCACCACACTACCGCTCCCCACTCTCACACAGACCCTCACACACACACAGACACACACACATACACGCACACACTCTCACACACACATATACAGACTGGCACACAGACTCACACACAGACTCACACACACAGACACACACACAGACACACAGAATCACACACACAGACACACGCCTCATACACATACACACAGTCTCTCACACATACACACAGACTCACACATACACACAGACTCACACACTCTTACTCACACACACTATTACACAAGACTCACACTCACATACACAGACTCGCACACACACACAGACTCACACACACTCTCAAACATACAGACACACACTCCTCATACATACACACATACTCTCACACATACAAACATACTCACACACTCACTCAAACACACTCTCACTCACACACACTCTCACTCACACACACTATTACACACACTCTCACACTCACAGACACACACTCTCACACACAAACACATACTATCACACTCTCACACACAATCTCACACAGACACAATTTCTCCCACACCTACTCACACACTCACACACACACTGGGTTGTACTGCTGTGCCAGGCTAGGTGCATGAGGAGGAGGTCACGGGACAGACCCTGGAGGTGCCGTGGGTTGTGCTGCTGTGCCAGGCTAGGTGCATGAGGAGGTCACGTGACAGACCCTGCAGGTGCCATGGGTTGTACTGCTGTACCAGGCTAGGTGCATGAGGAGTAGGTCACGGGACAGACCCTGGAGGTGACGTGGGTTGTACTGCTGTGCCAGGCTAGGTGCATGAGGAGGAGGTCACGGGACAGACCCTGGAGGTGACATGCGTTGTACTGCTGTGCCAGGCTAGGTGCATGAGGAGGTCACGGGACAGACCCTGGAGGTGACATGGGTTGTACTGCTGTGCCAGGCTAGGTGCACGAGGAGGTCACGTGACAGACCCTGGAGGTGACATGGGTTGTACTGCTGTGCCAGGCTAGGTGCATGAGGAGGAGGTCACGGGACAGACCCTGTAGGTGACATGCGTTGTACTGCTGTGCCAGGCTAGGTGCAGGAGGAGGAGGTCACGGGACAGACCCTGGAGGTGCCATGCGTTGTACTGCTGTGCCAGGCTAGGTGCACGAGGAGGAGGTCACGTGACAGACCCTGTAGGTGCCATGCGTTGTGCTGCTGTGCCAGGCTAGGTTGTCTTTGAAACTGATTATCCTAAATAACATTGCCATGGGGTTAAAAAAAAACGTTTATTATCGTTACACGGTATTTTAATAACGTAAAAAAAATAAGGGAGAATTTTGCTCATAACGGTGAATGCAAAAGGAGCAAAAAAATAATAACGTTAAGTTGAAATAGAAGGAATTGAATTAAACAACGGGGAAAATCTAAAAAAAATATAAAAATAATGAATCAAAAACGTAAACAAAGATGGCGTCACGTGATTCGCTGGAACCATCCAGACGGCCCCGCCCCTCACAACCCCCCCCCTCCTCCAGGACCCTCATTAGCATAAACCCCGCCCCCTTAATTCTCAAGGAAACTTAATATTCATGAGGCGAAAATAAATTTATAAATCACGCGCGCGAGCTCTCCCAAGCCGCGTGACCGAATGTCGCCATCCTATTGGGCGATCCGACGAAAATCTACTTAATATTCATGTCATATAAATTATGTTAATTAGATGTGGGGTGGGTGACATGTGGCCCCTTCCCACTAACCCCGCCCCTCAGCCTCCTTAACCCCGCCCCTCACCCCCTCACAACCCCGCCCCCTCCCCCCATCTCACCCCGCCTCACCCCCCACAACCCCGCCCTACCCCCCCCCACAACCCCGCCCCTCACACCCCCCCCCCACAACCCCGCCCCTCACCCCCCCCACACACACGGCCCCGCCCCTCAGCACGAGACGATCCCCTCACGCTGCAACATCTTCACGAGCGAAGCGGGCGATGGCGGTTGGTGAAAAGCGCGGGAAATAAACAGAAATAAACAACAACAAAGGACGAGCAGACGGAAGCCGCTGTTTTGTTTGTTGTTGTTGTTGTCGTCGATCATCTTCTCCTCACTCAACTCGCCGAGCTTTTGACACCAGCGCGAAGCGATCAAGGTGAGAGAGAGGGGGGGTGTGTGGGTGGGTGGTGGTGGTGGTGAACGCGGCGCTTTCATCAACAACAACAACCACCATCAACAACAACAACCATCAACAACAACAACCATCAACAACAACCACCACCATCAACAACAACCATCACCACCATCACTGCCATCACTACCACCATAATTAACGACCATCACCACCATCACAACCATCACCACCATCACTATCACTACCACCATCATTAACAACCATCACCACCATCACAACCATCAACACAATCATCAACAACAACCATCACCGCCATCACTATCACTACCATCACTACCACCATCATTAACAACCATCACCACCATCACAACCATCATCATTAACAACCATCACCACCATCACTGCCATCACTATCACTACCATCACTAACACCATCATTAACAACCATCACTACCATCACTACCACCATCATTAACAACCATCATCATCAACCACCATCACTGCCATCACTATCACTACCATCACTAACACCATCATTAACGACCATCACCACCATCACAACCATCAATACAATCATCAACAACCATCACCACCATCACTACCATCACTATCACTACCACCATCATTAACAACCATCACTACCATCACTATCACTACCACCATCATTAACAACCATCACAACCATCAACACAACCATCAACAACAACCATCAACAACAACCACCATCACCACCATCACTATCACTACCATCACTACCACCATCACCACCATCACAACCATCAACACAATCATCAACAACAACCATCACCACCATCACTGCCATCACTATCACTACCATCACTATCACCATCATTAACGACCATCACCACCATCACAACCATCAACACAATCATCAACAACAACCATCACCACCATCACTATCACTACCACCATCATTAACAACCATCACAACCATCAACAACAACCATCACCACCATCACTGCCATCACTATCACTACCACCATCATTAACAACCATCACAACCATCAATACAATCATCATCAACAACCATTATCATCAACAACCATCACCACCATCACTGCCATCACTATCACTACCATCACTACCACCATCATTAACAACCATCACCACCATCACAACCATCATCAACAACAATCACCACCATCACTACCACCATCATTAACAACCATCACCACCATCACAACCATCAACACAATCATCAACAACAACCATCACCACCATCACTTCCATCACTATCACTACCATCACTACCACCATCATTAACAACCATCACAACCATCACAATCATCAACAACAATCATCATCAACTATCACCACCATCACTACCACCATCATTAACAACCATCACCACCATCACAACCATCAACACAATCATCAACAACAACCATCATCAACAACCATCACCACCATCACTGCCATCACTATCACTACCATCACTACCACCATCATTAACAACCATCACCAACATCACAACCATCAACACAATCATCAACAACATCAATCACCATCACTACCATCATCACTACAACCATCACTACCATCATTAACAACCATCACCACCATCACTACCATCACCACTATCATCAACAACCATCACGACCATCACTACCACCAACATCATCAACCATCATCACTACCATCACTATCACTACCATCACTACAACCATCACTACCACCAACATCACCATCACTACCACCAACATCAACAACCATCACCATCGCTACCATCATCAACAACCATCATCACTACCATCACTATCACTACCACCAACATCACCATCACTACCACCAACATCAACAACCATCACCATCGCTACCATCATCAACAACCATCACCGTCATCACTACCATCACTATCACTACCATCACTACAACCATCAACAAACATCACTTCCATCATCATCAACAACCATCACTACCACCAACATCATCATCAACCATCACTACTACCATCACCATCATCACTACAACCACCAACATCATCAACAACCATCACTACCATCATCACTACCATCATCATCAACCATCACTACTACCGTCACCATCACTACCATCACTACCACCACCATCATCACCATCACTACCATCACCACCACTACCATCACTACCGTCACTACCATCACCACCACTACCATCACTACCATCACCACCATCACCACCACCATCATCACCATCACCACCACCATCAACACCATCACCACCACCATCACGACCACCATCATCACCATCACCACCATCACCACCACCACCATCATCACCATCATCACCATCACCACCATCACCACCACCATCATCACCATCACCACCACCATCACCACCATCACCACTACCATCACCACCACCACCATCACCACCACCATCACCACCACCACCATCATCACCATCATCACCATCATCACCATCACCACCACCATCACCACCATCACCACTACCATCACCACCACCACCATCACCACCACCATCATCACCATCACCACCACCATCAACACCATCACCACCACCATCACGACCACCATCATCACCACCACCATCACCACCATCACCACTACCATCACCACCACCACCATCACCACCACCATCATCACCATCACCACCACCATCAACACCATCACCACCACCATCATCACCATCATCACCACCACCATCACCACCATCACCACTACCATCACCATCATCACCATCATCACCATCACCACCACCATCACCACCATCACCACTACCATCACCACCATCACCACCACCACCATCACCACCACCATCAACACCATCACCACCACCATCACGACCACCATCATCACCACCATCACCACTACCATCACCATCATCACCACCATCACCACTACCATCACCATCATCACCACCATCATCACCACCATCACCACCATCACCACCGTCACCACCATCATCACCACCACCATCACCACCATCACCACCATCATCATCACCACCACCACCATCACCACCACCACCATCACCACCACCATCACCACCATCACCACCACCATCACCACCATCACCACCACCATCACCACCATCACCACCATCACCACCGTCACCACCATCACCACCATCACCACCATCATCATCACCACCATCACCACCACCACCATCACCACCACCATCACCACCATCACCACCATCACCACCACCATCACCACCATCAGCGGAGCGAGGCGAGGGGGTGGTCGCTGCACTTCCTGAGGGGAAAGTCGCGAATGGTCGTCAGGCGTGGTGGTGGTTGTGGTTGTTGTGGTGGTGGTTGTTGTGGTGGTGGTTGTTGTGGTGGTGGTTGTTGTGGTGGTTGTTGTGGTGGTGGTTGTTGTTGTGCTGGTTGTTGTGGTGGTGGTTGTTGTTGTGCTGGTTGTTGTGGTGGTGGTTGTGGTGGTGGTTGTTGTTGTGGTGGGAGGTTGTGGTGGTTGTTGTGGTGGTTGTTGTTGTGGTGGTTGTTGTTGTTGTGGTGGTTGTTGTGGTGGTGGTTGTTGTGGTGGTTGTTGTGGTGGTGGTTGTTGTTGTGCTGGTTGTTGTGGTGGTGGTTGTTGTTGTGCTGGTTGTTGTGGTGGTGGTTGTGGTGGTGGTTGTTGTTGTGGTGGGAGGTTGTGGTGGTTGTTGTGGTGGTTGTTGTTGTGGTGGTTGTTGTTGTTGTGGTGGTTGTTGTGGTGGTGGTTGTTGTGGTGGTTGTTGTGGTGGTGGTTGTTGTGGTGGTTGTGGTTGTGGTGGGTGGTTGTTGTGGTTGTTGTGTGAGGCTAGTTGAGTGTTGGACAGCGGTGGGGGGGTGTAAAGACATCACCATCATCACAACCATCACTACTATCATCACCATCACTACTTTCACCACCATCATCACAATCATCACTATCACTACTTTCACCATCATCACCACCATCATCACAATCATCACCATCATCACCACCATCATCACAATCATCACCATCATCACCGCCATCATCACCGCCATCATCACAATCATCACAATCATCACCATCATCACCACCATCACCACTGCCTTCACCACCATCATCACTACCTTCACCACCATCATCACTACCTTCACCACCATCATCACTGCCTTCATCATCACTACCTTCACCATCATCACCACTACTTTCACCACCATCATCACCATCATCATCACTACCTTCATCATCATCACCATCACTACTACCTTCATCATCACCACCATCATCACTACCTTCATCATCACCACCATCATCACTACCTTCATCATCACTACCTTCACCATCACCACTACCTTCACCATCATCACCATCATCACTACCTTCATCATCATCACCACTACCTTCACCATCATCACTACCTTCATCATCACCACCATCATCACTACCTTCATCATCACCACCATCATCACTACCTTCACCATCATCACCATCATCACTACCTTCATCATCATCACCACTACCTTCACCATCATCACTACCTTCATCATCACCACCATCATCACTACCTTCATCATCACCACCATCATCATCACTACCTTCACCATCATCACCACTACTTTCACCACCATCACGACCTTCATCATCACCACCATCATCACTACCTTCACCATCATCACTACCTTCACCACCATCACCACTACCTTCACCATCATCACTACCTTCACCACCATCACCACTACCTTCACCACCATCACCACTACCTTCACCATCATCACTACCTTCACCATCATCACTACCTTCACCACCATCACCACTACCTTCACCATCATCACTACCTTCACCATCATCACTACCTTCACCACTACCTTCATCATCACTACCTTCACCGTCATCACCACCATCATCACTACCTTCATCATCATCACCATCATCACTACCTTCACCGTCATCACCACCATCATCACTACCTTCATCATCACCATCATCACTACCTTCACCGTCATCACCACTACCTTCACCATCATCATCACGGCCATCACCATCATCACCACTACCATCACCACCATCATCACTACGACCACCATCATCACTACCATCACCGCC